CAAGGTTCACGACTACTTACGATGACCAATTGTACGCTTTTAGATAGAACGAGATAAATGCCTAATATTTTGGCGGGCAATTATTTTAATTTAAGACAAAAATGAAGAAACATTTTGTAATTAAACGATAGCCTTCACTATTTTTTTTTTTCAAAATCTACGAACAGTGTTGTAAAATCTAGCTCATTTCTGGCATAAGTACAGGTTCAAAATTAGAATCCCATGAACTGTTTATTATGAGTGCAAAATTTAGAAAATAAAATAAAATATCTATATAAAAAATCATACAAACACAAAGATAAGGGGAAATATTTATCCACATTAAATTAGTCCATCATTGATTATTGTGGTCATAATTGATCATATTAATTATTCCAATTAATTACGCTTCCAATCTAAGGCTGAAAATTAGTGTCACGAGCGGGATTCGAACCCACAACCTTCGGCTGAATACGCCGCTGCTCTAACCACTTGACTTCAATCCCCTCGGACACCAACTCCTCATCTCAACCTAACCGAAGGTCGTGGGTTCCAATCCCGCTCGTGAAAATTAATTTTCATCTCACCCAAAAGCCTTAGATAAAAATAATAATTAATTTGAATTTATCCATATGTTGAAACATTATAGTAACAGACATAAATTGTGAAGTTTCCTTCCGTTGTCTGCGGGTTGGTAAATCATTTTTTGATAGTTACCTATCATCTAAAAACACTGGAGATGGCGAAATCCCGAAACGGGTCTGAATTAACAAACATTAGCGAAGGTAGGCAGACCAAGACTATCAAATAAAACATTTAAATCTAATTGAAAAATAGTTAAATACTCAAAAAATTATCTTGTTTTACGTAAGTCAGTATGGCCCAGAAGTTGGAAATAAAAATTTAACACAATTTTTATATATATTCTATGGCTTTTTCTTTTTAAGAAGATCTGGTTTAATGATGCTTCTACCAATTTCGAAAGATTGTGGGATTTCTCTTTTTGTCGTGGGTGGTTCTGACTTCTGTCTGGCCCCTGAAGGGTATGATAGCCGTGGTCAGGTACTCAGAAACACATCTGGCCTATTTGGCCGAGCAATATCGTGCATAAACAACGATTCAGAGCATAAAAAAGGGATAAAACACATTAAACCATATTATAGGAACATCTCAGCATATTTTAAGGATTCAAGGCCTCCGTTTTACAGCACCAGTTCGCTACGTGCCTGCAAGAAAATACCACAACCGGAAACATAATAGAGCAGGATCCAAGTTCAATGTTTTCATGTGCAGCACTCACTGTATCGTTCCTCCGGTCTTTCACGACAATCAGGACTGTTAAAGGCAACTCTCGCTTTGACGGTGAATAGGAGTTTTTACCACTATTCTAGCCCACGATGGGTAAATCCTTGCAACCTCTCTCTCTCACACTCTCTCTCTCTCTCTCTCTCTCTCTCTCTCTCTCTCTCTCTCTCTCTCTCTCTCTCTCTCTCTCTCTNCACTTTCTCTCTCTCTCTCTCTTTCTCTCTCTCTCTTGATTCCGGCAGACGGACCACCATGTCGTAAATTTACTTCAAAATAGATATATTGCAATGTTTATAACTTTTCCAACTCTTTTTTTGCAATAAAAGTATATTATTTTTTTTAACTTGTTGAACTTTCAATTCGCCATCCCTTATCCTGTTTAAAGATTTCTTTTTTTTATATTATGTATAAAAACTCTTTTTCCAGATAAAACACCGTCTATAAACGGCAAAGGAAATGGTGTTTGATGTATTTGTAGTGAAAATTGGGGGAAAAATTATAGCTCGGTCAGAATCATTTCCTGAAAATCTGTACTTTTAATTTCTCTTCACTCCTGACCTACATCACATAGAAATGATTCTCGTTTCATTGTGTCTTGTGTATGTCTAAAAGACATAAATCATAGCAAAAGTCAAGGATTAAAAAAAAATTAAATTATATTCACAGATCGAAAAAAAATTATTAAAATAAGACAGGTAACTATGTCAATAAGAAACTGAGCAATACCACTTTGAAATTTTGTTTTTGATAGGACCTAAGTCAGAAAGAGAAAATTAACAAGTCATTAATTAAGACACTTAGGAAAATATTCGGACTGAATAGGATCAATTCAATAGGTAGAAAGAATGTCAACTCCTTAAAACTCAAATTTAAGAAAATTGTGTGGTGTTTAGTGTCCGTTAGCCAATGATTATTTGGAGGTCATGAAATGCGGTTTGGTGTCACGTAGGTTTTAGAAAAGCATTTTCTTTATTGTGCCAACGTTCTTTTCCACTCCTACATGTATTTGTAAAATTTAAACAATATTTATAAATGCCATGCCCTGAAGATGGTTTCAATAAAGATCGAAGGGAAGAAAATGTTTTTCTAAAGCCTACGTCAGACCAGACCGCATCTCACGATCTCCAAATAATCATTTTGTTTACTATTGTACTTTTTTTAAACATTGTAACATCCGATTGACATGTATTTGTAAAATTTAAACAATATTTATAAATGCCAGGCCCTGAAGATGGTCTCATTAAAGATCGAAGGGAAGAAAATGTTTTTCTAAAACCTACGTCAGACCAGACCGCATCTCACGAACTACAAATAATCATTTTGTTTACTGTTGTACTTTTTTTAAACATTGTAACATCCGTCTGACGGATGGTTATTTATCCATAAATAAACCTCCTTGAACATTAATTGATCTAGGCGGCTATCGTTTCCAATCATAGCCTGTAGTATTAAAAAAAAGCAAAAGCGCGTTGTACCAAACCTAATCATCAGATTACTCCTACATGCGCCAGCGGTTTTCCCGTTCGGTTTTAGAAGATCACAACGCGGAAATCCCCTGCTTGACCCTAGGTTGACTCCCCGCTCCTTCCTACTTTTACCAATTTCACAACACCCCGAATGCCCAGAGTGTTGCCGTCTTCAGAGTTCAGTGGTTGGTGCAGTGTCGTTCAAAAAGGACTGTAAACAAAATTTAGCAAGGTGAGCACGTTTTTCAAATTAATTTTATTTCAAATGTTAAGTGGTAATTTTGGCACAATTTTATGTTAACTTTTATTGAATTTTCCCCTACTTGGGATATTTATTTTGTATAAATTCTTTGATAAACTATTATCTTACATTCCAATATCGATTAATATATATATATATATATATATACATGTGTGTGTGTGTGTGTGTGTGTGTGTGTGTTGTGTACTTATATGTTTTACATATAGGTCATTTTTACAGAACCAATGTTTGTGAGTGTCTCAGACTAAATCGTTGATAATAAATTTTTCATAGTACTTATTTTATTATACAAGCAATTAAAAACTCTTAATTATTTCCTTTCTAATACTTACAATTACAAAAAAAGACCGTTTTGTACGTATACAGAATTACTTTTACATACACAAAATATGCCAGATGAATAAAATACAAATTAATTAATTATTCTCTCTATGTAAGGTCTTGGTTGAGATAAAAAAGTCAACTGTCCCGAGCGGGATTCGAACCCACATTTTCGACTAAATACGACGCTGCTCTACCATTTGAGCTATCGTGAAAATAGTAGCTTATCGTCACGACAGCTCAAGTGGTAGAGCAGGCGTATTTAGCCGAAAATCCTGGGTTCGAATCCCGCTCGGGACACTTGACTTTTTTATCTCAACCAATAACTTACTTAAATATTAATTAATTGAAAAGAATTTATTTGATCAATCGGACCAAAAAACCTAATGGATACAAATTAATTGAACTGATCGACGTTGATCACATCGTTAGGTCCGTCTTTTTTCGCCGTTTTACCTCTCTTCGTATATTTACTTTCACTCAGAGAAAATGGCACGAAGCCGAAACGGATACGAGTGCGAAGTAAACAAGTAAGAATATACCTAGAAAAGAAAACAGGGTTAAAAATGTTTGCTCGATATATGAGAAAAATATCGTAAATATACTTATGGTACAAAACTAGGCCAAAGGTTTACAAAATGCAACATGACAAAGGTCGTTTATTACGACATCCGCAGGTCAGAGGCTGTCGGGATGGAGATGCAGGTAAAAATAAATCGTGAGACTGCATATTAAAAAAAATTAAGAAATCCATTCGAAAATTTATTGATAGAGACATCAAACAATAATCATTAGTTTACTCTCCAATTAATCCCATATAAACAATCAATAATTTATCAGCTTTCAAAGGTTTGGTTTACAGAAGACGAATGACAATATTAATACAATAATATGAAATAATACAATTACCTATCACCCATTCTTATTAAAAATCACATGCTATGCACACTCATCGGCTTTTATTTAGGTCTTTGTCCCTCTTTCATTCTGGTCCACCTTGTATTTCATTTCATTCGTGTTGTAACGAACGACCTTTTCGTTCCATTGTATTTTGTGACCTTTTGCATTTGAAAAGTTAAAAATATAACCCTCCCAGGTGGTGATTTCTTCTTTTTTTACAAATATTCTTTATTATTATACATTTACTAATAATGGTCTATAAATGATAAACAAAATTTGTCAAAAAGAGTAGGGGTTGTTGTTCAGAACATCTGCATTCTACGATTGTGTACATACGATTACACCATAAAAAAATGTCCTAGAAGAACCTAATTTTTATCTTACTGAATATTATTTAATATTTATCCACATTAAGCCATGAAAACACTGTTTTTATTTTGTATATCAATAAAATTTATGAATGTTTAAAAACGTGACACCTAGTAATTTTATTAATTTTTAATCTACGTTAATTCAATTTAAAAAACAATTAAATTTATTTGAGAAAAACATCGTATTGAAGAACAGAAATAATAAAACGTAAATCATCATATGATAAATATTACTGTTATTTTTCGTGCTATAATAAAATTGAAAATTCGTCGATCTTTTCAGTTTTTTATTTTTTATTTTCGGAGTTAAAAGATGGTTGTACATTAAAATCCTAAATACCTCGAAAACCTTTAAAAATGAATCTAGTTGTACTGTAAATTTTTAATATAACTTACCTGTAAGCCATCTTCAAATATTATTGATACATAAAATTTAAAAAAAATCTTCCTAGCCCAGTATGTACTTCTCACCTCCTTCCTCTCAGAGGGACTGTCCCAGGTGAATCAAGAGGAAGAATACTCGGATATTTTATAAATAAATCTGGTATTCCCCAGTGTCAAGGTATTAAAGCCTTTCATCGAAAAAGAAGAGCCTCATCCACAAAACACTCAACAAATGATCAAGTGAAGAGATTTACTGATGTAATATAGAGAGTTTTAGAATAGAAACAAAAGTCCCGTGTTTCTGGATGAACCTACCTTTGATAAATTCTTTCATGAAAAAATCCGTCCATCCAGTACGTACAACTTACCTCCTCTAATTTATCAGAGAGATTATTTGGAGTAAACCAAGAAAATATTCACGTACTTTTATAAAGGCTGACGTTTCCCATGGATGCGTCCTATGACTTATTCTGTTTTCTGCTTTATACCAGGGGCCTGTTACCAATGGAAAACACAAGTGTAGCATCGTGGACGACTGCAGCACTGTCAGTGGAAATCATTGGAACAGCTTTAAAACATATGCGACCGGATTGACAGAAGTACACAAAAGTAAAGTCTGTCTAGAAAAAAAAAGATACATGCCAAACCATCACTTTGGCTTTAGAACAATCAACAACAGGTCAGGTCAACAGAATTACTGAAATAATAGAATGAACTTTTGAATTTTGTATATATGGTATACAGCTCAGCAAGAAAGACCTTGTTAAAGAAATTATATGTATTGTAATATACATAGCAGGTTTAAGAATCGTAATTGGAGCCTTTAGGACTAGTCCAATACAAAGTGTCTGTGTCGAGGCAGGGGTAGTACCTCCAGGTGAAAAAAGGACCTACACTGGCCTATTGTGCAAACCTTTTTTTTTTTTTTTTTTTTTTTTTTTTTTTTTTTTTTTTTTTTTTTTTTTTNTGTTTGTGTTAGTCATCAAAAATTTCGGTATCAGCTGGAAGCTTGTTTTTTAAGTTTGTGCTGGAGTTTTCCTAAGGGGTTTGGTGGATTTGAGCAATTGCTTGATGAAGAGCCCTGTGAAGCGGGTCTTTTTTTATTTATGCACTGGTTGGTTTGGCTATTGTTTTCTGGGATTGTTTTGGGCATGTTAGATGAACGGTTTAGATTGTTTAGATGTGTAGTAGATGAGTTTGTTATGTTTAATTTTGTGGTTTCACGTTTTTGTGAGGGAACTGTTATTACCAGTTGGCTGTTTGAAGGAGTTTCTGGTCTGGTTACGTTTTCAAGATGGCTAAATTTAATTAATAGTTTTTCTACAATCTCAGTAAGTTTGTTGATTTGTTGGGTTAATGGTTCAATACTTTGGATTGGTTGATTTGAAGTATGGTTGTTTAGAGTGTTGGATTTATTGATGGCTTGAGAGAAGGTAACATTGAGTGGGGTATGTGGAACATTGCGTTGTTTAAACAGCAATTCTGCTTGTCTAAATGAGACTTTTTCCTTTGATCTAATAGTTTCAATTTCTTTTTCTCGTAGGTAGGTTTTACAGTTTCGATCATATGCAGGGTGGGCCTCACCGCAATTGATGCACTTCAGTACAGATTGGCAGGTGTTTGTATCATGGTCAAGGTCTCCACATTTGCCACAGTTCTTGGTTTTACAATATTTGCTCGTGTGCCGAAAACGAAAACAAGAATAACATTGCATTGGGTTTGGAATATAGGGCCTAACTTTAACTTGAAGGAAATCAAAAGTGATTTTGTCAGGAGTTTCAGGTTTTTCAAACGTTATAATAAGTGTTGGTGTGGGAATTCTGGTGTTATTTACATTTTTCGTTATTCTAAAAACCTTAACTACGCCTTGTGCTTGGAGTTCTAATTCAATTTCCTTCTCCGAGCATTTTACCAACTCAGGGACATAAACAACACCTTTGGAGAAATTCAAAGAACGGTGAAGTTCTAACAGAAGAGGAATATTTTCAAACGTTTTCATGTTCTGAATATTTATGAAGTCTTTTTCAGTACTAATGTTTAAGAGAACAGTGCCATTCCTGAGAAACTTAATACCTACATTCGGGGCGTAACTTTTTATGCATTTGCACACTTTGAAAGGGCTGAAATCATTGAATGATTTCTTAAATTCATTTTCAATGAACGACATTATAACATGTTTTTTACACCACTTTCCAGTGGGTTTTAATAAAAGATTATTTTCATCAGTGGTTTTAGAAGCTGGAGGAGTATCAGCTTCCATAGTTAAGTTTAACTATGAAGAGTATGTAGTAGAATAAATAGATAAATTATAAAAAAATAATAATAATAATAAGTAAATAGAAAAAAAGTAACTGAAGAGTTTTGAAAGTAAATTAATTTTTTTTTAAAGAAGAGAAGAATAATTCAAATGGGTACTCCCTATAATACTGAAGGTAGATTATCGTTGAGATAAGAGACAGCAACACGATGTTATCAGCTCAAGGTGCACACAACGACTGGTGCAAACCTTTGTGCAAGAAAAACGCATTTCATACATAAGGTCCTATTTAATGCTGAGCCGAGTGCAGTATATGATGCGCTGAGAACCCGTACAAGACCATTGGCAATAAGAATTAAGGAAACATTGGCTACGAGAGGAATAGAAATGGATAAAGTAATTATATTTAGGGTATCAAAAATAGAACCCTGGACAATTCCTTCTCTAGCGATTCGAGACGGTATGGCGATGAGAAAAAAGGAGACCATCCTACATCTATACAGCGGAGTTTCAATCCTTGCGGGAGGAATACCGAGATGCGACCTTCTTTTATACACATGGATCGAAGAGCAACAAGAAAGTCCCATGCGCCGCTAGTATTTACACTACTGAATTGACGCCATAACATTTGCGCTGGGTGAGATATCGAAAAGAGACAATCCAAAAAATGTAATATGACATGACGAAGCAGACAAGAAAGCGGCTGCCACCCCACATATCACCGAGTCCCCGATTAGCCCGATGGATCTAAAAACACAAATGAAAAATTCGATTAATTGTAAATGGCAGACTCGCTGGAACGAAAGTAATGAAAAACTAAAAATACATAAAGGTACGGTGAGGCCGGTAAAAGAATCACATCAAAATTAGTCAGTTAATGCATCCAAAATCTCCAAAACCTGGGGAAACACAACAACCTGATGGTATCTTGGGTGCCAGGGCACAGGGGAATTTTGGGTAACGAGAAAGCAGACAGACTGGCNATGAGGAGGAGGAAACAGCCACTCATATCATCTTCGAATGCGAAGCAACATCTTAATGGAGATTTAACCTAACGTACGGAAAAAACTTGACCTGATACTTCTAAGAATGAGGATTGAGTCTATTGACTAACTAAGGAACTAGGAGGGTACAATAAGCCAGAAGGCTGCAGTGCCTGGGGAATACAAACCCCGCTTCCTAGTATCCTTTTCTACCATACCATACGGTGAGGCCCGTGGAGAATTCGGAAAAACGTAACAAAATAATATTGACAAGGTTGCGAATAGGTCACACCCGTATCAAGCACGGTCACCTCTTAGTGGGTAGAAGTCAAAAACGCTGCCCACTCTGTGGAAACCCGGTAACGGTGTGACCTACCATTTAATCTGGAACTAGTTCTTACGCATAACAGTGACTTACTTCAAAGATAATCTTATTAGGTACTTAAAATTGATAAATGCGTATGGATACCTATGAGGGTGTATCTCCATTTTGCAGTGTGAATGTATTTATTAGCGTGGGTGATGAGGTATGTCTGGGTGTGCCTTTGACTGAATATCGAGTAGCTCACAGGCTCGCCAAATTAGTTTAGGTAATTAGATATTTGTTGTTTGATGTGAGGGACAGGTCGCCGCTATCAAGGTTGTAGTAATACTGCCGAGATGCTGCGACCTCTCCAATATGAATGTATTTATTAGCGCGAATGTTTTGTGTAAATGGACGTGGATGTCGAGGAATATCCAGTACTCCACAAGCCTCTCAAAAGGAAATTAGTCTAACGGATGAACGAAATTTTGTACACACTGTGTATTTATTAGCGCAAATGGAAGGAAGTCGGTATGATTATGACCATATGACCATTTATTTAGTTGTAGGGGCAGGACCTCAGTCGTGCACCTGTGCTCTGAGTCCTGCCAACTATAGATTAGGTAATCTTTTTCTTAGGGTGAGTGGGTAAGATTAGTGAGTTTGTAAATATTGAAGTATTTTTAACACACCACGTGTGGGATGGTAGGAACGAGCAACAAAGTATTCCTCTGTTTGGTCGGTAGGAAACAAAATTAAAAGAAGAGATATAGTGAATGAGATAGAGATAAAGTTGAAATGAAACAAAGAAAAATGCGAGAAGCTTGTATACGTGAAGTGCCGGCAATGACCCTAGTAAGCCTTAACTTACAGAATTCTCCCAGGCATCGATTCTCCTACCTCTAAGAAAAACTATTTTGAGCAGTACAAAAAAATACTCCAAACTTTTAGAAATAGACTTGTGTTCGCCAGAGAAACATCGACCAATTCTGTTTTCTGCTTTTTCCCAGTGACCTATCGTCAACAGAGGTTTAAAAGATAAACATAACTCTCCGTTTTGCTGGGCGAATCTAAAGGCTTCGATAAAGTCTGGTAGCTAACTTAAAAAATTCTGCGAACAACTTATCCCCTCCAATATCTCACAGAGTCTATATGATTAAAGAAGAATACTCCGAACTTTTAGAAACGAAGGCTGGTGTTTCACATGGAAGAATCTTACGACCTTTCCTGTTTCCAGCATTATACCATTGACCTATCACTAATAGAAAACACAAGTAGATTCACGTACGACTGCAGCACAGTCAGGGGAAAATATCAGATCTATTGCAAAATTTGAGAAATCGGTTCTTGTGTGAGGCTAAGCTGTCCACAGTCCAAGTCTACTTAGTCGGATCCGATGAGACTGGTGACGAGAGATAAAAGAAGTAGAAGTCATCAATCATACGTATTCAGTTTTCTTTAACGTGAACGTTTAAAATAATCAAGTTGAATTCGAGGTAAAAAATAATGGATGTTCGCAAATTGTTTAAGTCCAATCCCTCCATTTATTCATATTATAAATTATATACACAACAATATATAAAAGTCGTGTCCGAGTGGATCGAAGTCACGATAGCACAAGTGATTAGAGCATTGGTTGAGCCGGAGATCGTGGGTTCGAATCCCGCTCGTGACACTAACTTTTTCATTTCAACCAAGACCTTACATACAAAAAACAATTGAAAGAAATAATTTGGTCAATCAGACAACTAAATATAATGGATTAAATAAGTAAAACGAAGTATAACTTCACTAGCAGCTCCCCGTTGCCACTTCATATGTCGCCGAGAATCGAATCCTGATTTCACGACATTTGAAAAAATGGGAAAAAGGAGGGAAAGTTCGAAAGGTTGTAAATTGAGATGGCTAGTTGGTGTCCGAATGGACCGAAGTCACGATAGCTCAAGTGGTAGAGCAACGGCGTATTGAGCCAAGAGGCGTTGGTTCGAATCCCGCTCGTGACACTAGGTTTTTCATTTCAACCATACCTTAAATAAAAATATTAATTAATTGAAAGAAATAATTTGTTCAATCAGACCACTAAATATAATGGATTTGATTTATAAAAAAAATATAAAAGATAAAACAATAAACAAACAACCCACCCACAAACATTTGCCGTAATTTTTTTCTAAAAAAAATAAATAAATAAATATGATCGATATAGTTAATTAATGTATTTACACTTTCCCCAAACTCCTTACATAAAACATTGTTGTTTTTTTTATTTCATTTCAACATATCCTTACCGAACAGGCTTCTTGCTCGACTACTTTTTACTTCCTTGAAAATTTCAAGTCACTTTCGGACAACTTTAGAGATAATTATTCAGATATCGTGAGATGCGGTCGGTTTAGAGATAATCTCATAATCTCACTAAATTTTAAATTTAATTATGATATTTTATTATTTTTTCATATTTTTTAATTAGTAATATTTTTCTCGTATAAACGATGTAACTGACTGCCTCGCTACTCATTTTCGCGGTATGGACTTTATTGAATATTTCAAGTTTTGTAAATATATTGGTTCACTTTAAAAAAAATGTCCGCATGTTATAACAATAATAAATTCAAACTTTTTCCATAATCTTGTGTAAACATCATTCCCATGAAAAACAATCCCCAGGTCAAAGCTATTTCTGAACAACTTTCACTACTTCGCACGCGTGATGTTCACTGCCCAATGAACTTTACGCTTGTAATTTTACCTCAAAATCTCTAGGTTCAAAAAAGTTTAAAAGTGTGTGTTAGTCAAGAAATTGTTGGTGAGAATTTATGATCCTTTAAATTTAATTTAAACCATTACCCCATCAACCCCATCAGCATTTTAATTTTAGCCGATATTTACAGACCTATGGACTTCTTTAATAAATCGTATTTTAGTAAAAAGAAATATTGCGCTTGAAGAGGCTATGCGTAAGAACGGATATGTGGTAAGACGTGAAGAGATTCTGTAAAGGTTGGCCTACTTTCAGCCGCCAGCTGTTCCCAACCTATTAAGAGTGGATGTATTGTGTACAAGAATGACCTTGGCGTCCACTCCAGCTTTCTAAACCACTCGAAAACCCGATGAGCGAGTGATGAGGAAGGGCGAATTGAGATATGAATAAGAGCCAGTCATGTACTTCGCGGAAGAGGTGTACGCAATAAAGAAAAGGCTTATCTCAGATGACGGAAGGCAAAATGAAGGCTCTTTGGTGTAGTTAATCTTTCCTATTGTTCAAAGAGTACGAGAAGGAAGGACTTTTGGAATTTCGTCTATTGAAAGTTTGTAAAATCATTTGAATTAGGAGTGAAACAGCTTTTACACAAAAGACTCAAGAAAAGTGATTTTTATTAGATGGTGAGTGAACACTCTCACTTAAATTTCATTTATCAATATTTTATAATCTTGCTATTTTTTTTCCTATGAAGCTTGTTTGTACTACCAAAAGTACCAATTGCGATAGCGGTTGAGGAACAGCCAAAAGAATCATATGAAAAGGTTCGGTACTAGGCTATATAGACTGAAGTGGTCATCGTTCTTTGAGAATTCTAAGATATTATAAAATTCAAATTAGTGCAACTAAAATCTTTTTTTCGACTAAAATGTTTATCCAAAAATTACAATTTATCTGCCAAAACAATTTGGACAAAACATAATCTAAGCTAAATCAAAATGAATACGATATTGTAATTTTTCGACCTAATATCAAAAAAAGTTCTTTAAAATCGCCCTAGCCTCTATGTCATTTAGTATTATATATCAAAGCTTTTAAACTTATTTCCTTTACTTTTTATTGATATGCTTTACTTTATGTTTGATTATGGAGGAGGGTTTCTCCCTGAAGATGTTTCTCCATTTTCAATCTTTTGTATATATGTATATCATTTTTTCAGTGAAACTTGAACTTTATTGCTAAACCATTTATTATCGAATAGTGTCCATTCTTATCACTCACATTCTTTCTCGCGCTCTCTCACTCACGATTTTTTCTTGTAAATCCGTCTTTTCATTGTTCAATTGTTATGTAAATTGAGATATCTATGTCAACGAGCAAATTTAAGTTAAGTTCCATGTCAAACAAATAGATGGAACATATTGACCACGAAAATAAAGTTATTCCATGTAATTAATGTTTAATAAATTAGAAATAAGTTAAACTTAGAAACTATTGTATTTCACATTAGATGTAAGAATGGTCCTTGAGACCAAATCTTGTGTGATTGATAAATAAAACGTTCATCATCATCATCATCATCTCTCTCTCTCTCTCTCTCTCTCATTTCATATACTTTACAAACATAATTATCATAACATAATTATATTAATTTTAATGTGCATCTTAATGAGGGATTTGTACATTGTGATTGGTGAAAATTATCTTGTCAGTTAATTACTCAAATTTATGTAAAAACGGGTGCTTTTTCCTGATAACTTCAAATTTATAAATATATATTTATATAGATCATGTACTAGAAGTCTGGCTTGCAACAACAGAGGTCATATCAACCCTCAGTGTGCCGGTGTTTTTGAAAAAAAAAATAATACTATTTTATCACGCGTTAGGGTGAATCCCCTCACACGATGCAAACTCGTTTCCTTACGAGTGTAAAATAAAAAATGAAAATAAATATTTGTACCACAAACTCAATTAAATTAAATGGAAAAGACAAAAATCGGGACCTGATCCAAATAAATTATAACAAAACCTTAAAAAAAAATGTATTCAGATTTGAAAAAAATAAAAATATGTGATCTATGACATACGCACTCTCCTTGCCATTAACATAAAAAAGAGCAGGTGCCTTCAAGCAAAATTGAGAGACAGTCCTTCCTCGTCCTTTCGTAGCTCAGCTCGCACTGCCCGATCCTGCTGTTGGGGATTAGCTTATCCTTTGAAATAAGCTTCTCATTTTTGAAAATATTGTTATAATTTGTAAGTATGTCGGGTTCGAATGCAGGGCCGGTAGATTAGTACTTATTAACATTAATCCAGTTTAAAGTTCCTACTTTTCTTTCACGGTCTAAAGACCTATTCCTTGCGAAGCTTGGTGACAGAAATTATATTATAAATCAGCCGATGCTAAGGATATAAAAACAAACGAATGAATATGAGAATGCTGATTTGCTTAATACATCTGTTCATAACCTAAATTAAATTAATTAAACTGTACTTAGTAATAGTGACATTTGTCCCATTTATAAATTAATTTTTGGTTTGTTATATGTTAGTATATATATATGCATATTTGATACTATATACTAACACATAACAAACCAAAAATAATATTAAATATTATATATATATATATATACATATATTATTTATATAATATGTATATTGTATTGAATTTGTTTAGTACACCTACCAGTGTATAGTATTCGATTTTCTTCCTTTAGTATATACACTGGTTGTGGGCATCTGCCAATTGCCATAAATAAATAAGATATCTCCTTCCATGTTACTTACAAACTTCCAATTGTAAATATTGATTTTTTTTGTAGTACACTAATTTGGAAAAAATTGGGAATGCTTCCCGATAGACAGTTCATAAAACACCTATTCGCTCTGGCCGTGTCAGTATACTTTAAGTCACTTTAAACTACTGGAGAGTGATGGCCGGTGTCTTTCCTGAAAAATGAGGGGGCAACCTGCGAACATAGGCAGGCCGAGAGAAGTTGACAAATAAGGCCTATTCAACATGATGATAATGATGATGTCCCGCTTGTAGTTTATCAAAAAGTGGACTTTTACAAAGCGGCTTGTATTATGGCTACTAATACAAACCTAAAGTACCAGCTTAAGATAAATAAGACGAAAATCTGGTCAAGAAATTTAAAAATAAATATTTTAAATAATTAGTACTAGTTATTTAACAATAAATTAAACATGATTAATTTATTATGTATAAAAATCGAGAAATAAAGTATTTTCAATAATTTAAGTAATTTTTTAAATATTTCGTTCTGCCTTCTTTGTACATGCACTTCAAGGTTATAGTGTATTTGATTTTGATTTTTTTTTTTATTAGTATTTGATAAGCTCAAATATGCACACGCGTATAGATACATACGCGATACATAGTTGATATTATCGCTTCCCGAAGTCCTCAGGAAATTCTAGGTTTGTATTTACAATAAATTACCGGCAGGCCTCGAGAATCACCCACCCCGGGTGTTGGCAGTCCGGGGTCAGTCGTCAGTCTATCCATTCAGCCATCAAGGTTGGCTAAAAGTGCTAGGTCATTTCAGCACCCAATGCAATCAGTTCCTAAAACCAAACCCATTCATTCGCTCACTGTAAAATTCATTTTTGTTATTTACATACTATTCACTCAGTTCGGATGGTAGAATATTCGATTTTCTTCCTTTACACCCACATAGCTAACCTAATCGAGAGTCGATATTTCGCCATCTGCCCAGTCACACTGCACATTCACGCCAAAAAATACATTCACCATCAACACACGCTAGGGACATATAACTATAAGTATATATATATACAATAGAAGAACCCTATTTACTCCAAAAATCGTAACAGGGTATCCTGTTATCCAGTTGCCGTCTCAAGCACGATTCATTTTTGGGGGCATTGCTACACTCTCTCTATATAGACCCAATATAATAAAGAGATTCTTTTTTGATCCTGATGTTTCTGCTGTTGTAATATTAAAATCTGAACCAATACAAGAAAAGGCTTTATAACATTAGTTCATAATAAGGCAAAAATTAATAAAATTTTTACCTAGAGATTCAGAAAGTAAATTTTCTTCATTCTGATTATCAGTTTGAACATCTAAAAATTGCATTAAAAAAATCAAATGTTTGAAAATAAATCACAAAATACATTTTACTGAATTAACCAATATTTATTTATCTGTTATTTTTCTTCGTAGAGTAAAAGTAAAATAAATTATTAGTAAAGTGTACTTGTTAAATCAGACAGTTGTCTTGGGCTCGGCAGCGCAACTCATTTCCTACTTGTTCCACTGTAAAAATACAGATGAAATCAAAATTAACAAAAGATTTCCTTCAAACATGAAAACATTTTACCTGTCATATCAGCATCCTTTTTGGGTTCTTTTTGTAAAATTAAAAATAAAAATTATTCTCTAAATGTACAAGTATAATTTAAAAATGTTCAATACCTGGAGATGAAGAATACAGAATCTGTGGTGACTTTTCACTCTGCAAAGTTGTACTCGACTGTGGGTCATTCTGTGAGGACACATCTGATGGTGGTTCACTCAAACATGGCGTAGTTCCTTTTATTTATATATATGATCGCGAATTAATAGATAAATGATAAAAATAAATTTCAGGTAGGTTATTTAATGTAATTACCACTTATTTTATAAGAAAGGTCTGCTCGTGGCGAAGGTTTAGTTTCAATCTCTACAAAACATACAGTTTTCTTATGTTTAAATAACAAATGCTTCACACATATTTAATTAAATTTGAAAAAAAAACTTAAAGCTCAGAATACCTTAACTAGAATCAAATATATTCACAGTACTCAATTCGATTAAAGAGATAAAATATACTAAGCAGTATATACAAGTTACAAAATCGGAAAGCCTGTACCAGTATAATAGGCCAATTTTTTAAATATAAAATCAAACCTGATTCGTTTCAAGCACCCTTTAAATTCTTAAAATATAATTAATATAGAAAACTGAAAACGAATATTTTTGGGGTGTATCAGCCTGGATAAATTTTTTTCTCTCTTATATTAGCTGTTCCACTAAAAACATCCGAATTTCTTCTCAATTTTATACGATCGTTAGAAAGCTTAATATATCCTTTTTGAAAGATGAGATGATGTATCGACCTGGTGTTGAACAACTTGGAAAAAAGGATCTTCGGTGCGGTCACAACACAACGACAATTCTGTTTTTGCCGAGCTTTCGAGGATTATATCGGCATCATCAGGGCGTATTTATTTTAGAAAAAATAGAACATTATATCATTTAAAAACCATAATTAAAAAACAATTAGTTTTCTTACGTAAACTCGATGGGTGTTGAAATATATCTTGAAAAATAGAAACGGCATTTATGATAAGATTATTTAAAATTAGGTGCAACTCATTATCTAAACATTGACTTTATGTAATTAATTAAAACAATAAAACCAACATAATATAAAAATTAAGAAAAAAAAGCACAACGTGGTCGTATAGGTTACCTCGGTTAAAATATACGTATAAGTACATGCCTCTTTTTTAATAAAATTTTTTCTCATCTACATTTGAATATCACAGTTAAGATAAATTAAGCTTTTTTTAAATTGTACTATATATACATAACTTAAATTAATGTGCTTCTTCTGAAGTCTATTACAACGTCTATTAAAGAATTATCGTTCTGTTGTGCCCTCACCGAAGGATCCTTTTTTCCAGGATATCCTTTTTTAGTTTGTGTTACAAAGTTTGATATTTTATATAAATTTAAGCGAAAAAAGTAAGGATGAAACCAACAAAGATGTCTATTGGCTATACAGGGCAGTAATAAGACCCAGAATAACCTATGGATCACTAATCTGGTGGAACAAAGCTCAACAAAAAGTAGCTACCCAAACATTAGTGAGAACAACCCCTACAAACGCATTAGAAACTTTGCTAAACCTACCTCCACTGGAATTATTCATACAAGGAGAGGCTAGGAAAAGCTCACTTAGGCTCCAGAATCAATTAAATTGGAAGGGAACTAAACAATTCGGGCATACAGCTATAATCAACAAAATCAGACACCCATTATCAGAAATGGAGACTGATTATGTGATCCTGGAAAGAATCTTCATCTCTTCCTATAAAGTCTCATTTGGTAATAAGGAGAGGAAGAACACAAGAGAGCATCAGATAAAATGATATGGTGCACAGATGGCTCCAAAACAAACGAAGGAACCGGAGCAGGCGTTTTCTGTACAAGCCCAAAACATTATCAATCAAACTTATTAGGGAAGTACACTTCGGCCTTTCAAGCGGAAATACATGCCATCATTGCTTGTGCCCTGGAAAATCTTAAAAGAAGTTACACTGACAAAAAAATCCTCATAAGATCAGATAGCCAAGCAGCCATTAAAGCATTACCATGTAAAAGAATCACATCAAAATTAGTCAGTGAATGAATCCAAAATCTCCAAAACCTGGGGAAACACAACAACCTGATGGTATCTTGGGTGCCAGGGCACAGGGGAATTTTGGGTAACGAGAAAGCAGACAGACTGGCCAGTGGAGGATCTGCAAGACCATACATAGGCCCCGGACCTATTCTCGGGATAACAAAAACAAATATATAATCCTCCATCGCAGAATGGATTCAATCAAAACAAAAGTAGAAGTGGATAAACTCTAGACATAGTAAACTTACGATGAACATCCCTCACCGAGTCTGGCAAAAACACTGTTGCAATTGGAGAGGGCCAAACACAGAGGAGTGGTAGGACTACTAACCGGTCGCTGGCATCTGAGAAAACATCTACACAACATGGGCATATACAGCGATGATCCCATTTGCAGATTATGTAATGAGGAGGAGGAAACAGCCACTTATATCATCTTCGAATGCGAAGCAACAGCTCAATGGAGGTTTAACCTAACGTACGGAAAAAACTTAACGGGAATCAAATTGCAGCAGCAACAGTCAATGACCTGATACTTCGAAAGGTGGCCATTCACTATCACTCCAAATGGAACCTTACAAAAAAATAAAGATTAACGTCTTATTTATATTTACTCCAGCTTGTTATCCCCTTGATTAGAAAACAAAAGAGAGAAATCATCACTACATGAAAGGTTGGCAACCACATTACGATTTCTCGCTACAGGGATGAACTACAAAGAACGTTAAGTTCTCTAATACGATTTCTGATCATTGTTAGTGGTTATCAATACCGCATCTCTCGTTGCATTTGTATCCTTTTTTTTTAAACGTCGATCAACTGGTTGAGGATCGAATTTCTTTTATTTCTATCGTGGTAATATAATCATTGTCCACCACTTTCATAAACATGTCAACTTTCATACAATCCAATCACCTCAACAATAAAATCTCGATTGGATGTCATTACCAATAAAGAATAAACGTTTTTGACTTTTGGAGAATGTACGACTGAGATGTTTGCTCAGTGACAGAAAGACGGAGACTGCGCCAAAAAACGAGGGTTTTCCCATTCGCGACCAGGCCAGCGCGTCAAAATCCCCACCCTCCACGCCAGGTTTTCCCATTCTCGAACGCGCCATGCCGTCATCGCACCGTAGTTATTTGGAGTGGCGCGATGGAGTTTGGACTGTCGAATATTCGGCACGCCAGTTCAGTTTTGCCATTGACGTGGTTTTTGGAACAGCGTCGCTCCGTTTGGTCTGCTAGGAGCGATCGTGAATGGCCACCCTAAGGAGGATTGAGTCTATTGACTGAACTAAGGAACTAGGAAGGTACAATAAGCCAGAAGGCTGTAGTGCCTGGGGAATACAAACCCCGCTTCCTAGTATCCTTTTCTACCATAACATATCATACCAAAAAAGACGTCAAAACGTTTTATTTTATATTTTCTTTTCTGATTAATTTACTGAGACCAGGTTTATGCCATTACGTGTAAAATGAACGATTCTAAGCCCATACTGTGGAATAGTAGAGTCGTTTTAAAGTTTTAGTGATTTTTGGGAAAAAAAATAGGAAGCATTTGATATTTTCAAGGAATTTTTTCCCCATAAAATTTATTCAGGGAGATGTGAGGGTTCAAATAACATATATCGACTTTGTGTTTTGCTAAATACACATTTTAACCTACTTTCCTACTTCAATCCGTCTCTAAGTCAAAAAAGTAATTGGCAAGCATAGCATGGGCATCTTGTATCGAAATAAATGATTTGTGAACGATTTATTCCAAAAAATTTAATTTTTTTTATTATGACAAAAATTCGTATTTAGGTGTGTTGAAGTGTGCTTAAAACGATAAAAAAATTAATACTTGCACAACAAGAGGAAAAAAATCATAGTATAACATTATTAATTATAAATTACTTAAAATAAACTTTCTCGGCCGTTAGAGTCCATTGGGAAGAAGGCTTGGATGTTTAATATTTTTCTAATTATTTTCACCAAAAATGATTTTATTAAAATTGGTGATCCCACGGCCATAACCTCCCCATTAAGTAAGGTAAACTCAAATTACCGTAATCGAGGCATTTCTCAGGGAACTTTAGTAATTAAATTCATGTCAGAAACCTAGAAAAAATAACTTTAACCAAAATTTGGTCACATTGATACAACACGTATGAAATGGGAAAAAAGTTATTATGGGCTTTATTTGGAAGATGTTATATTTAATCCATCCGTGCTTGTCACGTAGCGGTCCGAGAAATCAATTATTTCCTTTCGCTAAGATTTTCTGTTTGTCGATAATTCTAAAACTGTTATACCAGTAGAATCCCTTCTATAAATTGGTTCAAGAAGCAGATAAATATAAAAAAGATCATTATTTTTGAATATTCAATCAATTTAATCAATATGTGTCTTAATTCACTGGACATATTTTTGAGACCATTTTAATGGAACTTTTTTATGAGACTAGGCTCAATATTAGGCACGTGCCTGTGCGTTTTTGCCAAAACGGAGCCAATAAAAATAAAATTATTTCAAGTATTTTTATGTGATTTTGCCTTTGTGGACCTGTTGCACTAAAAAAGAAAAATCCTACATCGTTTGCAATGTTGTTTAGTCACAAAGTAAGTATTTCAATTAAGTGTTTTCAACCCGCACTTTGACTATATAACTTTGCCAAATGTTATTTTGACGTGAAGCCCCAGATAATTATGCTACACATTGAATTGAAATTTGTGAAGAAAACATATCTCTCTTGAGAGAGAAAGATATTAAGAAGAAAAACGTGTAGGAGAGAGAAGGAAATCCAATACATAAATACTAAATATTTCTATTTTACTAACATGTCAAAACACGCTTGTTGGCCTACTAAGTACTCTTAAATTAATGTAAGAAGCCATGAAAAATCCAACTTTTTAAATAAATCTATGCCAAATTGTTAAATGAACGGGAAAAATTAAAAATGGCTTCTTAAATTTAACCAGACGTCTATTCAGGACTTCTGATTGATTTGATCATTTTTCCAGAAGAACATTTTTTAATCCATTTTAAATGTTCCTACTCACAGTAAGTTGTTTTGCAACGATACGGATTTCGAGCCCTTTAGCTCATCATCAGGTTGAAGGACTTCTACAACCACGTCTCTCGACATGAATTGCCAAAGTGAACACGCTGATACCTCCGCCAACGCGACGTTCCAATTAGCAGCTGATTTGTTTAACGGCGCTCAATTTGAACGTTTGAAACGCGGAAATTATAACACAAATACATATTATACTAGTAAATACTTACTATTATTAAATTACTATAAAAATAATAACAATTAAAATAATTAGTTTAATTATTTGGATGTTTGATATTATTTATGTACATATTTAAAATGGGAGGTAGATCCAAATCTGTTATATTATTAATGCATTTATTACCATGTTCAATTTTTACATTTTTTAATTTCAAATTTCTCAAACCAATCTAATTCTTTCCCTTTGTTGAAACTATGTAACACTCTTGTATTTAGATTTGAATTGAAATTATATTTTGTTTCTTTTATTATCTTATCTTTTGGTCCTTAAATTCCGAAAATTTGCTCGATTTAGGCAAGTGTTCTTTTACTCTTGTTTTTATTTCTCTACCGCTTTGTCCTATATATTTAATATCACAATCATTACAATTGAGTTGATAAACCCCACTTTCTGCCAAGTTGTCTACTTTGTCTTTAGGTTTTGAGAGGATGTTTTTAAGTGAACCCGTACTTCTAAAAGCTATTCTAACCTTCTTGTTTAAAAATGAACTTTGAACTTTTTAGACCTAAAATTGTCCATGATAAACAACCTAATAGAAATAGACGTATACAGAAAATCCACAACTACAGACACTATGATACCAGCGGATTCTTACCACCCATGGTTTCAAAAGGCTGCTGGTTTCATTTGGCTCGTAGACCGGATGTTAAAACTTCCGCTAACACCTGATAACTATAAAAAAGAATTAAAAACTATTAAAACCTTAGCAAAAAAATCAACGGTTATCAAGAAATATTTATTGATAGTTGCTAGTTAAAAGAATAAAAAAATTAACTTTAAACGAATCAACAATAGGACTCAGCCACCCCACCAGAAATAAATCATTAGGTTTCCGTTGTTTGCCATATATTGGTGAATTATCGGAAAAAGTTAGTAAAATTTTTAAACAAGAAGGTTTTAGAATAGCTTTTAGAAGTACGGGTTCACTTAAAACATCCTCTCAAAACTTAAAGACAAGGGGTTGGGTTTACCAACTCAATTGTAATGATTGTGATATTGTTGATAGATATTAAATATATAGGACAAAGCGGTAGAGAAATAAAAACGAGAGTAAAAGAACACTTGCCTCAATCGAACAAATTTTCGGAATTTAAGAACCATCTAAAAGAAACAAAACATAATTTCAATTCAAATTTAAATACAAGAGTGTTACAAAATTCAACAAAGGGAAAGAACTGGATTTTTTTGAGAAATTTGAAATTAAAAAATGTAAATTGATAAATACATTAACAATATAACTGATTTTGATCTACCTCCCATTTTAAATATGTACATCTATAATATCAAACGTCCAAATAATTAAACTAATAATTTTAATTGTTATTATTTTTATATTAATTTAATAATATTAAGTATTTACTATTATAATATTTATTTGAGTTATAATTTCCGCGTTTCGCACGTTCAAATTGAGCGCCATTAAAAAATCAGCTGCTAATTGGAACGTCTCGTTGACGGAGCTATCAGCCGGTTCACTTTGGCAATTCATGTCGAGAGACTTGGTTGTAGAAGTCCTTCAACCTGATGATGAGCTAAAGGGCTCGAAATCCGGATCGTTGCAAAACAACTTACTGTGAATAGGAACTATCTTTTTAAAAAGGATTGAACACCACACCCATTCCATCATTTATCATTTCTACTGTATATTTTTTTATGTTATTTGAAATACAACTACTTAAGACTTAACAGACGATTAAGACCTTTTAATGGCGGTGTACTTAATAAAATTGTAATTACGCAATGTGCTATATTAATCCACTAATTAGCAACTTTCTCTAACTGTAAAAAAAAGACACGACTTAAATACAACAAATTGATTCAATACTGATTGATTTTAGTTTTGTGTTTCTTTTCATTATTTGTTCTTAAACCCAAAAAATAATGATTATACGTATTATATGTACTGGTGGGTCTGTGGGTTTGTATAGTTATGTATATTAATAGACGAGTTTCCGAATTTCCACACATTCTGTGGTTAGTTTATGTTTACATTCCATAGGCAAGATTGCAATATATTTTACCACGTTAAAGTCATCCTTTATGCCTAGGTAGGTAGATTGATTAAAAATAATCACTCACCCTGAAGAAAAATTGTTAAACAGAAAAAAAGCGATACACTGCAGTTTAAACATAATAAAGAAAATTGTTTGGAATATAGAAATATTAAAAAAGAAATTAATTTTAATGAAATAATCAACTTTTAATAACTAAATACAACACTATAACTAATACAACTGTCTGAAGTTAATAGAAATGCATTTTAAACATTTAGAAAACTCTTATCTTAGTAAATATTTATGATTATTTGGAGATCGTGAGATGCGGTCTGGTGTGACGTAGGTTTCGTAAATAGTATTTAATTTATTGATAGGTTTATATCAAGTCGTTCGTTTTTATTACCCAATAAACTTATTTTCACATACTTAGCCTCCCAGAAATTTTCCCTAATTCTAGTTAGGTACTAAAGGCATAATAACCATCCTTTCCACTCAGTATATTGGCTATAGTCTTACAGATTTTTTGAGCACATTCTTTCACGCACATTAAACAATAAGACTATAAAGAATATATTACATTTAAGAAAAAGGTTATTGATCACCTAAGAGGATTTTCCAAGCATCAAAACCTCTGAAGAGAGCAATCAATCGTTCGAGCTTCTTGTAAATGAAAAAGAATAAGAAAGAGAAAAAAGCCTATTTTTCTTTATTCTTAGATTGATTTGTATTGGGTGAAAGCCGTTAACTAGGTCGTTTCAAGTTTCTGCTGGGTTGAACTGGGTTGAAGAAAACTGTTCATCAGGTTTCCTTCTCAGATAGCACTCCCTGATAATATACATCTCCGAATGGAGCGTTTGAACTTTCTTTTTTTTTAATTTCAAATTTAAGTATTCTTTTTGTTAACGTAGGATTTTAATTTAAACAATAAAATAGTTTAAATCATAAATTTACACTTGTTTTTGTATGAAATATTTCCGCCTGTAGATCCGGTCTGATGTTCGGTTTATAACTTGACTTTTAAGACCTATTGTATATCACTTTCTCAACTTTATTGTTCGCAGGTGCTTTTCCCGCCTACGGGCCCATTATTTCAACCAAGCCGGGAAATACATTCTCCGGAAGAAATATGTCTGTCCGCAAGTCTATTAGGGTTTCCTTCGGTTTTCCTTACCATCTGCAGGATCAAGTTGTCCTTTTTATATTGGAAGAGTCGGAAATATTCAAACAACGAAGATAGTTTAACAACCGTCGGACTTTAACGAACTTAATAATACAAAAGTAGATCGGAATGATCAGTTTCAAGCCATAAACAAAAGAAATGCTATGTAAACTTTCATTTCTGAAAGGATAAATTGTTAATAAACAAAATAGACCACACTCATGTTTCCACAATAAACATGATTTGTTTTTTGTATTTCAAATCAAATAATTTAATTTGAAATCAAATATAAAATGTCAAATAGTAACTGGTTTGGAATAAACTAGTAGCAAAATGGTCATGACCAAGTGGTCTTGATATACCATTAACCCAGGAAAAAATTAAACTGTGATGAAAACGATCACCGATAAAACTCGATCTATATGTACCAAAACAGGTCTAACATATGACTATAGTGAAGATGAAGTTAAGAGATCTATATTTTTAATCCACTCTATTTTTTTTTCGACTTATACTTCCGACATCTAGGTCATTTCAGCCCCCAACTATGTCTATATTCTATTTACCCTTTCAAACACTACATTCATACAAATAAACACATTCATACACATAAATACCTCCATATAGTACACTCATTCCGTTGGGTCGGTGGAGTTCTCAACTACCCAATACTCAAACTAATCTAGATTGGGGTCGATGGCGTACTTTTATAAATATTCCTCCATCGACCCCGAACACTCACTCATACGCTCTCAACGTTCGAGGGGCGATGATGACGTTATATTTCACCCTCACCTCTCGCCATTCACGCTAATAAATACATGCACTCAGACAAAACATATAGACACACAACACATAAGTCATATTATATGCAATAAAAAAAACCAATTTCCCCTAAAAAGCGGAACAGGGGACGCAGAAACTCGCTGCAGTGCTCGAGTACCATTTTCAGATTGGATGGCATGCCTACACGCTCCCTATGGGGCAAAGGCATGACATGTTTCAAGTATGTGGGACACATCGAGCATAAGGGACACCTGCGCGGGCTTTGGCCCAAGAGCAGGTGCCCGTGTGTCAACCGGGTATGGCCTATTCTTAATCGCGGAAGGACGATTCCTTGTTTCCGATCCAGGTTCTCGGAGGGCCATCTACGAATCGTGGTCTTGACGCGCAAAAGGCTCTCGGCCCACTGACGCTGCCATCTTTCTTTTATCATTTTCTTTACTGCTACCTTGGCGTCAGAGGGCCTGATCGAGGGTCCGGTCTGGAGGATGGGCGTCCCGGTCTTTGCCGCCTCGTCCGCACGTGCATTACCCTCCAGCCCGACGTATCCGGGGATCCAGACTACAACCATCGTTTTTCCGAGGCGCTAATCCACTCTACTACTAATTGATTTATATAGAAGGATATACTGTCAGGTTATGGCTCAATATTTTTATAGCTTTATACAGAAGAATGTACTGCCTGGCTGTGGTTCAATATTTGTGTAGCTTTATACAAAAGGATGTACTGTTATGCTGTGGTTCAATATTTTTGTAGCTTTATATAAAAGGATGTACTGTTAGGCAGTGGTTCAATATTTTTATAGCATAAAAATGAAGACTGCTATACCCTGACTGGTTGCAGGGATAGATAAAGAAACTAGTGATAAAAACAACATAAAATTGTTAAACATGGGGTATGACCAGAATATCAGGCAATCAATACATTTACAATGAATATAATATTTAGCCTAACTGGCTGACAAAATTCTTAAATATCGAACAGTCTGAAGAAACTGTATATGGACAAAGTGAGGAAGAATTAAAGTATGCTAAATTTAATTTCAACTGACCGTAAATGCATAGCACAAATAGGAGAGAATTGACAAACAGCAGTGCTATGAGAGAGAAAAAAGGGAGAGTGAGGTACAGTTAAAATGAAAAGGGAAAAAGAAAAGATTGCACATTAAAGGAACTTTTTTATAGCGCAATAGAAGAAATTAGCTTACTATTTTTCGGTCCTCCGGGCCGGATTTTATCGGCAATTATCAATTATAAGATTAATTCTCGTTGAAAACTATTGTAATAGAGAGTGAGCTGTATGTTTTCCTGTAATGCGGTACATAAATTTAACCTTGGAATATTTATAATTACCCATAAACCAGCAGTGGATTCAATATTTTTTCAAACATTATTTTTCCAAGTGCACTTTTTTTCTTTCTCTTCCTCTAAACTCGGAGTAGTCTTCCTCTAGTGCAAAATGTCCTCTGACTTGGTATAGCTATTCTTCAGTTTGGACAACAAAATATGGATTCCAATAATAACGAAACAAACCTATTAAAAACTAGATAAAAGTTAGAAAGCGAATAATCTTTTATGCAAACAAAACTGCTGGATCCATAAAATAAGCCCCCTGCAAAGAAAGATTGAGGATTTTCTACAGCCAAAATACGTGACTAGGGCCACCTCATACTTCATACAGAAACGCATTGTGATTATTCAGAACAAGAGGAAAAGCTCAAAGAGCATTAACTTCTTTGTAGCGAAGAGAAATATTTTCGATGAGATCCAGCAGACCCAAGCGTGATCTTCCAATTGTAAATATAAATAACATTGACAAGCCGACCTCAGTTAGTTCCACATTTTTTTTTCCTACAATGAAACAGTGATCCGTGTAGTACATTGTGGCTTTGACTTCACGTCAGGAAACATTTCAAAGATTATAAAATTTTTTAACGTTGTTCCAGAATACTTTTTAAAACAGAACTACCTTACACTTTTCTTTATGTATAGAAATGACTCAAATGATCATTTTTAAAGTTCATTGACAGTTTTTCTTCACTAACATTTGTAAATGACTTATATTTTATGTATTTTTCAGGACGAACTCTTATCGCCCTTTTTAACCGTTTTTCAAGAGCCGAAGAATCAAAACATCAACCTAGTCAAAACATGTTTAAAATCGAAGTCGCCTTACTAACGACGCTCCTCGCCTTCGCGTCGACTCAAGACCCGAACTTGTACGAATTCAGTGAGTATGATTTTGATGACCTATAAATTATTACAAGGATAGTCGACCTGTACCTACTTCAAAGCTGGAAAGGAAGAGTTTTTTTTTCGTTTTCAATAACTGAGAAAGGGAATCAATGTGCTTGAATTTTTGGTGTTTTCTGGTCAAAAATATATTTTGAAAACATTGGTGTTTTTATATTAGACTACAGTTTTTTTTTCACAGATTGAAAGTGATGCGATGATATTCCATGGTTTAGAAAAGCTTCAAATAAATTTTTAAAAATTGAAAATTAAAAGTTTGAGTGTAGCTTAACTTAATGACCTCTCAATTCGCCTTCCCTCATGCTGTTTAAAGATTTCTATTTTTTTAATATTATGCTAGAAAAACTCTTTTTCCAGTTAAAACATCGTCTATCATCGGCCAAGAAGGCATATATTTATATGGAAAATTGGGGGAAAAATTAGAGCTCGATCAGAACATCCCTTTTCCTGAAAAGCTGTACTTTTTTCATTTCTGTTCACTTTTCTCCAAACCTCTACATCATATCGAAATGATTCTCGCTTCATTTAGTAAAACACTAAAAGACATAAATCATAGCAAACAGTCAAGGATTAAGAAAAAATAAATTATATTCACAGATCGAGAAAAAATTATGATGAGTCTGGTGGCTATACCAATAAGAAACTGAGAAATACCACTTTGGAATATTATTTTTGAAAGACCTGTCAGAAAGAGAAAATTAACAAGTCATTAAGGATCGTGTTAACTCGGTTGAGGATTGGCCATACACGTCTGACACACGGACATCTGCTTCTGGGTCAAAACCCGAGCACGTATCCCGCTTGTAGAGGAGTGCCGTGCCTTGGCCCCCTACAGGGAGCGAGTAGGCATGAACCCCGACATAAAAACGGTACTCGGGCGAGCAAGTCAGATGTTGGATCCCCTATTTCGCTTTTTAAGTGAAACGGGGGTGTTTCCTCACTTGTAAAGAGTGTTTAAAACTTGAATATCTGTGTAAATAAGTGTATCTGCGTTGTGTTTTATTGTGTCGTGTATTTATTTGTAAGTAATTTATTTATTTGTTTGTTGTAAGTAGGTGATGTTTTAGATTGTAGGGCCGATGGCGAAATATTGAGTACCCCATCGGCCATAACAGTGCAGTGAGAGGGGGCTGAAATGACTTTATTGTTGAAAGCCCCCGGGAAAAAAAAAGTCATTAAATAAGACACTTAGGAAAGTATTCGGAGTCTAAATGAGGTAGTGCATTCCGATGTATGTGTATTCAATAGGATCAATTCAATAGAAAGAAAGAATTTCAACTCCTCAAAACTCAAATTTAAGAAAAATCATAATGAGGCTGGCCCCATTCGAGAGAAAAAAAAACAGTTATACTAAGAAAAACAGAGTATTTTGAGATTTTTCAAAGGGGTTTTGTTCAGGAACTCCCAACCATTCCGTAGTGCAATTAAATGGTATGTTTGTTAGTTTCTGAATAAAACCCCATTAAAAACAACTGAAAAATAAAGTGACAACAAATAAGAAAGAAGAAAAGAATAAAAAGAATGTTTGTTAACATCACGTGGCCGATACGCTTTGTAACGCGTTTGCGAAAGACAAAGAAGGTCGGTGTACATCAGCCTCCAGGAGGTGAAAGTTTCTGATTTAGATTTATTCAGTTCGTCTTTTATAAACGAGGACGGTCTATAAATACTATTAATATCTTCATATGTACATATAATTAATTTTAATTTTTGTTTTATCAGGCCAGCATTTTTCAAATTGTAAATGGGGTTCGTCGGATTTTGACAAATGCGTCAAAGACGGGATCAATTCTGTCCGGCCCTACTTCAAATATGGTAAGTAATTCTTTAAACAAATATTGTATAATTTATTCCATTAGTTTATCAGTTAGGTCACGGTTGCTTATACTTTTATCATATGTTGAGGTTTTGAGAAATTTTGCCAGTAATGGAATAACAAATGACCGTTGGGCATGGCTTAACACTTTTTTATTGTCAATAAAACATTCGTTAGACCCTAAGGGGGCACTCAGGGTTTTTAATATTCATAAACCAAAGTGGCGTCCGAACAAAAACACCATTTTTGCTTCGAAATAAAATCTCATGGTCCAAAAAAAAAACCTAAAAGCCGAAATATTAAGAACTATCTTCCTGTATTTCATTCACTTGCCTGAATTCCTTAAAAATTTCGTTTTAACAAATTTGCATTTGCCGTTCTAGAAAGTACAGCGGTATGATATAAACTCTCGTATTAAATAATCGATGGGCCTCGCTAGCGATGTTTTATATAATGATTCAGTCAAAACCTTTTACATAACGATCGGACCAGATTTTGTTCAATTATATTCGGTAGCTAATCTGAAGTCAATATGTCAAGAAATTGTGGTGGTTGAGTTGAAATAACCCTCCCAAAAATGACAACGAAATAAAATTCATTGATTGACGATGAAGCGATACTCTTGCTCATTTTCACTCAGCATTATTAGAAGTAAAAGTTTCATTTTCAGACTACATACGTTTTCATAAACACCTTTCGACCAAACCAACGTATAATCACATTAATTAAGAAACTGCGGGTGCCGAGAGAGAAAAAGAGAGAGTGATAAAGAGAGAGTGATAAAGAGAGAGAGAGAGAGAGAGAGAGAGAGAGAGAGAGAG